TTAGTTATTTTACTAAAAACTGAGTAAACTTTAAGTTTCCTAGAACTGTTCATCCTAAAATGCAAAAAGTGTTGATGGTTTTCTGGGATTTTAAATGTCGCTAGAAAGAAATAAGTCTTTTTAATTCTTGTTACCCTGAGGTTTGATTCAGCAAATTCATATTCTTATTTCAGCATCCATACAACTAAAACTTACAAAGACCAGGGCAACTCCAAGCCTTTAAATGCCTATGTTGCTGTAGGACTTGACACTCTCATCACACTAAAAATTGCTTCCCCTCATCCATGGTACCTGTGTTTTCCCTTATGAATCACGTCCACGTCAGTTAGTGGATAAAGTAAAACCCAGTTCTCAAAGAGGGGAAAAAATGTTTTATTTCCTTTAAAAATAATTTAAAACCCCCAAAACTACCATCCCATCACTCTGGACAAAGTTATGTTGTACCACCCCCAAACAACCAAAACCCCCAAGGTAGTAACACTTAAAATAATGGATCCAGTGGCAGTGTTGTCCCCAGAAGCAGAATAAAACAGAGTATGGGTAAGTTACTTAGAAAAGCTTTTGTTCATCACAACAAAAATGAAACAAAATATTACCAGAATTAAAAAAACCCAAACCCATCTGTGGGCACCTACAGAGAAAATCCCTACATTTACTTGAACCTGTAAGTATCACTGACACAGTAAATCTTTTAGTGCCAAGCACTTCTCTAGTTTTTAGAGAAGGCTTGAAAAGAATATTTAATACCAGTGAGATTATTGAAGACTTTAAAAAAAAATTGAGACCATGAAAGAAAACATCATTTCCACTCTGAAGAATGGATTAACACAAGTAACAAAGGATGATACTTCTCCTCTCTGAAAGATAAACGCAGAAATACTAACACAAAGTACTTTATAAAAGCTTTAAGTAGTTTGGAAGGAATTTGGAATGCTTTGCTTTATTTCTTCATGAAGTACTTTAAATGATTTAGAAAGCCTGCAGAAACTATCATTGGAAAGTTAGCGTTTCATTCCAACGCACTTTGTAACACTGGCAGCCTTGGCCATTCTGGGAAAGGAGCCACGAACAGTTCTGGGTATTTCAGTCCTGGACATGAACCAGGTCATTTACAACGTTCTCGGGGCGATTAGGAGCAGCTCCACTGGGCAAGCTGAGTATCTGAAAAGTACTTGCATGGAGAAGACACAATACTTAACACACTGTTGACAGCGGAGGAAATGGGTTCTGCTTACTGACGACAAGCTTTTGATGCTGATGCGATATATAGCCTTTAATGTGACCCTGGCAGGAGAAAAAGACAGCATTAGTACTGGAAGCTGGTAACACAATGCCTATAACCTCAGCTGTCTTCAGACTACGTCAAGCAAAGCTATGTGTGTATGCTCAATCACCACTGCGCTACTGTACTTAGTATCTGTAAGGATCCAATTTACGTAAGTGGGTCGACTCACAGAGTAAGCAGAAAGTTGGAACCGTAACCATGTTTGCGTACTAACGGTGCTGTCAGACTGAGAGCCTGCTGCCAGGGCCCCCTACCGGTCTGCTTACATTTCCTTGAAGAGACAGAGCTCTACAGAAGTGTTTCTAGATTTACTCTTGCTCGCTTTAAGATGAGGATTTTAATTAATCACTATTCCAGACCTAATTAACTAAATGACATAGTACTTCCTTTTCAGACATGTAGTGTTGTAACACTGAAAGAAATCTTCCAGGCACCTAATCTCACCCTCTGTTACTCCAAGACCACACCAAATAATCTGCTTTCAAAACAGAGAAGTGGTTCATTTTCTTGCTGACACTGCAATGCTGCTCCAAAGCCTCTGATGTATTAGAAATCTCTTGATTTCAAGCCTTTATCTGTTCATGAGTAGTTGGGATCCATTTAGAGTAAAAGACAAAATGTGAAACAAAACCAAAGAAATCTGGTTTTAATTTTTTCTAATGTTAGAATGTCAAGAGTCTCCTACTTCAAAGGCAGAAGAACAAATCCCTTTTGGTCCCAGTTACAATTTTTGTATTTTTAAATCAGTATTTATGCATATATAGAAATGTCAGTACTGGATTTGTAATGTAAAATTCAACTTCAGTTTTAACCGTTTCCTGCAAAAGAGGCAGGAACTAGAGGAACTCCTCAGGACAAATGAAAAGATTTCACTTTGGGCACAAGTGAATCAACTTTTTTACACAAGAAAACCTGGGATCACCGATATGTTTTTTGTAATAAACTTTTATTCTCTACCTAATTTTTTTTACTGTCTGAAGTCTGGAAGGACCAAACAACAAGTGGTCAGCACATACCATATATATAAGGTTAGCTAAAATGCACTGGACTTCATCAATATCAACGTCATCTACTTGCATGAATTTCAGCGCAAACAGAAAGGCATCTAAAGATAGCTGATGGGTTTTGAGTAGTAAATATCTGAAAGAAACAACAGAAAAAAATCTGTTATTGAGAGACAATCACTTCAAAATTTTGGTTCTTAGAAAAATGGCCTTTCTACAATAAATTCACTTTACCAGGAATTCAGCTCTCTCAGAGAACTAAGGAGCGCATACATTTCTATCTCAGTCCTAGGTGAAACCGTATTAAATCTGCTTTTGCACAAACGTAGTTTTTGTTATGCTTACACTTTCTTGAAGAGATTTCTGTACGTGATGATTTTCAGCTTCTCAAGGATAAGAAAGATTCCACATCGAATAAAGAAGGTCTCATGCTTTGTCAGAGCGTCATTCAGTAGGAGAAGATTGCCTTCACTACAAGGATGAAGAAATGAAAACATGAGAAGGTCTCACCCAAACAAGAAAAAAAATTGTCTGACTTAGTAGGAATGTCCCTCCCTTGCCTTCCTCAATCATCCCAAATAAATACCTTTTACTTAATACTTTTTGAAGTAACACACAATGCAATAAAATAATCATCATACCTCACAGCCTTTGTTACTTCAGCAAACTGCATAAGGTCATACTTTTTTAAGAGCTGAACTGTTGGCATATGGCCCTGAAAAATAAACGGTTTCCAAGTTTTCCAGGATAAAGTCAAATGCATTTTAAATGTAATCTAGTAAGCTATAAAAACATTTGTTAGAGAAAAAGACAAATGTTTAACCACCCTTTTTTTTTTTTTTGCTACAGAACAAGAGGTGAATAAAAGTATTTGTAAGACAACCCCCTTGCCCCCGCCAAACGCCTTGTAGCTCAACACATGATAACTACCTGTTTATCATGGTTTAGGGTGTCTCTATATTTCTTAATGTTGGGGAACAGTTATCAAACATGTAAAATCAAGATCCTGTGACATGAGGCCTAGGCAGATCCAAATTTTATGTCATGGCTGTATGATCTAATCTGCAAACAGAAGAACCGCGGGAATCCCAAGCATTACTAATAATACAAGCAGGGCTTCAGCACGGTCAAGTGCTAGCTTAGTCTGTACCAGATTTTTTCTTTACTATGCCTCCATGTGGAAATAAAAATGTCCTCTCAAAAAACAAACAAAAACCAAACCAAAACAAAAAAAAAGAGAAAGTTTAAACTTAAAGAAACAAAATTAATTCTCATTGCTAGATCAGGTAAGACTGAACCACCTGCACTACCAAAAAGAAACTTCCCCCCCCGCCCCGCACAGCAGAGATCAGATTGCGCATTGACTTGGGTCAGACTTTAAATTTAGGTACCATCATGCTATGCTGTTGGTAACTCCTTCCTGGTTGGAGGATTAACCGAGAACAGAACTCAGCTGCATGGTTACTGAGAGCTGCTAGGAATAAAAAAAACCCATCCAAGCTATTTTAGCACAGTTTAAGGTTAGTGTTAATGTTTGGGCTTTGATTAAAAAAAAGCAACTCTAAAAACAATGACCTTTACCCAGTTTCTTTAGTGCCTCTTGTACACTAGAGCCGCTCCAGAAAAGCCACAGTAATTCTAAGCATTAATGGACCCACCAGTTTAAGGTACCCAGTCAAGACTGGGACAAAGTTTTTGCGAAGACTGTTTTTTCCTTTATCAACCCTACCATTGAGTGGTCTGCAAACAACCAGTAAGAAAGTCAATAAATAAAAACTGAAAACCAGAAGCCAATTATCATACCTACTATGCTTCACCTTCACCCACTTGACACTCCAAGGGACTAGAAAGAGAGCACTGAATGGAAAAGGGAGGATGGTCATAAACAGGTTGGGGCAAAGGTGAAAGATGGCAACTCACAGAAGCAGGTGATAACAGCATTCTCCATGGGTAACTTTGGTAATAGAGCCAGGAACAGGAAACTCTCAAATCTAGTTCTTGTCCCCTCAGTTACACGGAATTGATCGTTAGCATAATCCCACTAACTCAGGGATACACAAATGCCACCACAAGACATGGGAAAGGACACAAGCAAGAAGCAGAGATGTGCTTAACTCTTTTAATAGAAAGATGGAATGATCAAATAGTAACCAGTCTTTGTTGATTTGTTCAAAACCAAAATGCTCTACTTCATGACCCTTCTGACATGCCTCGAATGGGCAAATGTACAAGGCACAAATAGAAAACCCAAAGATAGGAATCCTTTCTCTCCTGTGGCAAACCCCCCTCGACAGTCTTCAGCCATCTGTTTGCACATCCTCCTCCTCCCCTTCACCAGGTGAAAGAAGCAGACAGATTTGTACTAGTGAATCCACACATTCCCTGGCCCATCTGTGCAGTTCATCACCAGACAGGCACTCTGCTACACGACATAAGTTACACTGCTAAGTGCTTCTCCAAAGAACTCAAAGTTATCTTTATTACAGAAGTAAGCTCAGGTTGCATCTTTAGGAGGCGTGGGAGGAAGGTAGAGGGAAAAGAAGGTGGAGGGTTTGTTTGTGGTTCCCCCCCTGCCCCCTTTCTCCTTTCCTGTGTTGCTATAAATGACAATTCAACATTTTTTGTCCTCACACAACAAAGTGTGTGTATGCTGG